AGGTCAAGGTCTCTTGAGTTCATAAAATATCAGCTAGGAATTATTAAAAAATACTTCTTGAAGCCCCACCACCTGCCTGAGAAAAACGGTGGTTTTAAGTTTTATCAGTATCAAAATAAGCCTCTAATAGCTGTTTGTACATCCATAAGCACTTTACAAAGAGAGAGCTAATTCTGCGGAATAATGTCAATGAGCCCAATTTTTTTACAAATACAACCAATAACCAGATAATTCACTCAAATACTAGCCATTAATGCCGGCTCTGTGCTGGAACATCTCTAACATGACTCACCATCATAGGGATGGGTATTGTTAAGGTTTTAACGGTACTACTACTTTTATCGATCCAGTCCTGTAACGATACTCTTATCGGTTCTATTTGAGAGAAAAAATAAGGTAAACTAACTAAACAAATTGTGAACAAAATTAACATTGCTTTTTATTTAAATTAAATACATAATATTTCACATCAAAAGAAATAACAATGTTTTAACAAATCATATTAAATAATCTGATGACAGAACTGTAAACAAAATAGCTGAAACTTTAACAAAATAAATAACTCAGTTACCTCTAACCATTAACCATGTTTGTATAANTTTTCTTTTCCTGCGTCTTACTTTGTGTGTGTGTGTGTGTGTGTGTGTGTGTGTATTTACCTGTGTGTGAGTGTGTGTGTAGGGAGTAATTCCCAGCTCAATAGTGAGCTGGGAATTACTCCCTACACACACACTCACACACAGGTAAATACACACACACACACACACACACACACACACAAAGTAAGACGCAGGAAAAGAAAAAGTAAGTCAGGGAACTGAACATTCAGCATTAAAATGAAATGAAATATGTGTATTTACCTTTTCTCTTGTGCTATGTGTTTGAGTCTAATCCAGGCTGACCAGGCAGTCAGTAATCAGAGCGGCCAGCTGTGGGTTATAATCCCCACTCAGCAGTCAAGCAACAATGTGATGATCTGATTGAAGAGGAAATGTAGAAATATTTTCTTCCGCGTCAGTGCTATAACAACCTGAATTTGTGCATCTGTTACCTTTTCAGACTTCAAAGAGGCTTTGAAAGAGTCTCATCTCCACGTCCCAAATATCAATACAAGGCTAAATATAGTGGTATCATATATAGTGATATCGTATATTCAATGTGTTTGTGGATCTTTCTGAGGCTTTTGGAACTGTTGACAGCTGCTTTTTAACTCAAGACTTCAATCTGTTCTTAAACCATGATTGAGGAACACTTTGTATGAAGAGCGAGCGCTTCTATAACCAACACTAACCCTAATCTTCTAATCATATAACTCTAACTGGACAGTACAAGTGAATGTATTTCAAATAAATGTTGAACTCTTTTAATGTTCTAACAGCTACTGTACATGTAAATAAGATGCATCCTACACCCAATGTCCCACCAGATAAAACAATAATGTAAGGTACATTTTTCACTTGCTTTTTTAACTATTTTACCTAAAGTGATTTCATAAACAGAGAACTTAAAGAAATATCTGAAAAGAGGCTGTTCCACTCCCTATGACAAACTTCCATTAATACCATTTGACTGTTGTTGGGTGAAAACCTTTTATATCCCAAATGTGTGTCAGCTTTACAGAAACTCAAAGGAAAACTGCAGTGTGTGTTATTGTTCAGTGGGGTATGAGAGCTTTTAGAATCCATTGCTCAGGTCGGAAAAATAGACTGTTTCCATTTCCCATTCAAGTTATTTGACTGTGTGGGAAATCACTAGACATGAAGATTCAAGCTTTACACCATCAGATATGTTATATAATCTTATATTTTCTTATTCTAAATGTCAGCCAGAGCACCAACGAGGGGCTCAGCCGATTGGTCAAAAGCTCTGATTCCCGCTGGTGTAAAAGAGATAGAGATGTTGAGCAGGACACTAATGCATGTCCCTGTTCCCTGAAAGAGACTGTACAACACACACACACACACACACACACACACACACACACACACACACACACACACACACACACACACACACACACACACACACACACACACACACACACAGCAACCTGAGGGTATGACAGGACAAAGAAACTAATGGAGATGTGAAAAGACACCGAGAGTTCTTAGAGTGGCTGTCTCTCACCCTGAGGCCAGTGGATAGTAATGACAATGGATACACACACACACACACACACACACACACACACACACACACACACACACACACACACACACACACACACACACACAATGGCCGGCAGCAGCAGAGATGCTGCAGCAGACTACTAGATACAGTTTGATGTTTGTATATTTGTCCCTGCAGGAATCAGAGATCCTACAATCTGAACAAACTGGTGAAAACTCATTCTACTGCCACGCAAACTGCTTGATGGAAATTAAAATAAAGTATGCACATTTTAACAAATCCATTTTCCCTCTAAGGAGAAGTCACACAAATCCAGGTCAAATAAAATCAAGGATATAAATGCATTAATATCTGATCAGCTTTTTGTTGCTTTTGAAGTGGTCCAGTCGGGCAGATCTTCCTCTCCAGCTGTGCATGACCTCCAACAGGCTCCACAAGTCCAACAAACCATTTCATTTTTAACCTCAAAGTGGAGCAGCTCTGACCTGAAACCACAAACTTAATACTGGATTTATGAAGCTTGTTGAGAGGAGGGACCATGCATGTAGAGTATAGCTGACAGGCTGAATTCAGGGCAAACAATTCAGGGCACAAAACTTCTACATAGTTTTATTTTTCCTGGCTTGCTCTGCCATCAACAATTCACACATTTCTTAAAAAACAAAACTGCTTTAACCACAATGTGGGTCAACTGCACAAAAGCTATGATATATTGATGTTTTTATTGTGCCTGGGGAATATTGCTTTACAGGCACCAAAGCAGATAAACTTCCATATTAATGTATTTTTCTCATTTGTGATACGTGGATGGTCTGCAAGTATGGCCGCCCTGAGAGCTCAACACATTGCAGCAAAACTCAATCAAATGAGGAACACATTGTCAGCAATTTGAATGCACAATACAGCATAACAAATACAAATGTATGAATAAAAAACAACTGAGTTCCAAAAACAAAAAAAAAGGTTTTACACTTAAATCTGATAAAACACAACGTCTGCCAAGCTTTTTGCTCCATACACAGACATTGGGATGGGGACAGCTGAAAAACAAATGACATTTTCTCGCATCACAAACAAACTAAAGGAATTTGATCCATTAAGTCCAATATAAGTCCTGTATACGTTTCTTCATACCATTTATGTGTGAAGCAAAATAGGAAGTCATTCGCATTGGCCAGAGGAATCCCTTTTACATGCATGGAAGAAATAAAGCTTTTAGTATCTAATTTGGTCACGTTGCTATAGCAGTGAACAATAGTCAACTTCAGTGCATTTACATACTCAGTAACACAACAACCAGTGTGAGATCACATTCAGGTCATAGTGAAGACCTGCAGGAGGCTGAAACCTGAACACACTTAAGGTGCTTCTCATTCAGCTAATTGTGCTTCCTCCCTCCTCCAGACACCAGCCACCTCCAATTACTCCCTCATCGAGAATGTTTCAAAACCTTAAACCCGTCTCTGACTGAGGAACCAGATATATTCGATGACGTTTCTACCAGATGGCCTGAACACTTTTTGTAGGTAGGGATTGGCCAGCAAAACGGTCTACTAGAGAAACAACATTACCTGTTATGTTGATTTTACTGCATCATCGCACACATTATGCATGTTAATTCAGCCAATAAAAATAATTACATGTGTGTTAAAACTGAAATCTTCAATCTCTGTGTTCTTTTCACACTTTCACAAACAAAAATACATTTTATTTAGAGAATGTAAAGCTGTTGTATTGCATCCGCATGCGCTTTTTTGTTAGTTAATAAACAAATTATTATTGTTTGGACTGGGTTACATCAGTCATGACACGTTATTTAAGTATTTAAGTTGGATTTGTCATTTCACATGATTTCTTTTATTTTGAGCTATAGTATTATTTATTTGTGTCTCAGCTCAGAAGCATGCATTTAATGAGGTTATTGTTGTTTTGTTTGTCGATATTTTACTGTTTACTTTGGTAAATGTTTTTTAAGATGCTTTACTATCTGTTGTTTATGCAACAGGGTCTTTATGTTTTCTTGTTTATTTTGTAGTTTTGTGTTTAGTTTTCAAGGTGGATTTGGCAATTACATGAAATGCAAGTTTTAGTTTATTTGTCGTCTCCTCTGAATTAAGTTGAATGAAAAAGCGCTGGGTCAGAGTCAGACAGGTGGAGCGACAGTCCAGCTTCCTGTCCGTCTGTATTCTGGTTGTCATGGAAGCGCTGAGTGGTAACACTAAAACTGGTGACGTCATGATGTGGTTGAACTACTGGGACAGTTGACTTGCACAGTAGTCTCTCTGTTCTCGATCCACATTCTCACTTTTTGTCCAGGTGGTTTCTAGAACTCTGTCCAACATTTGAAAAAAAAGTGAAGGTAAAACAAACATCTTAAACGTTTAACATGTTCGTCAGCTGCTCGGTCTGAGCAGCTGACGAGCTGGTGTTCGTCAGCTGCTCAGTCAAGTCAACAGAGGTTGGACTACCTACTCTCAGCAGTCATAATCCTTAAAATATTCATAATAATCCATTCAGTTCATTCAAAATAAATAACTTCCTCTATGTTTTCATTTTTGATTTCCAATATCAATGCTGTTCTCATCTGGTTAAACATGGGAACATTTGGAGTTTAAAACAAACAGGAAAGCACTGATCGTTCATAAGCCCTGGCCCTATACCATGAATAGAATACCAAAACTGACACTGTAAAAAAACATATAACCATTTCAGTATGGAGATCCAAAAATAGAAGAATTAGATTGAAATCACTGCCTCGTATATCATTAAAACTTCAAGGGCATTGTCATTATAGTGCAGATCACATTGAGAATGATGAAACTTATAACACTATTTACTACACCTGGGAGAGTACATTTGATTTGATACACTGAATTACAACATTTATGATATAGTTTATAGAGATATACACAGGTAGTCTTATTTTGTCATTTTAACGGTTTACGTATTTGGGAGGGTGAAAAAAAAAATTCTATTTCTGTCAACGCACTATTCAATGCAGGCCATTCATTGTGATCATTGATTATTATCCGTGTGTGGCCCTCAGTGAACAGAAACAGTTTGACAGACTCAGGGATTTAAACACTCACACAAGTCACGTAGTGTGTTTGTGGTTTGTGAGACCCTATTCCGCTCATGTATACAGCTGACATCATGTTTTATGGTTTACATACCGCACCAGGGATTATACTCACACACACACTCACCCACCAACACACACGCACGCACGCACGCACGCACGCACGCACGCACGCACACACACACACACACACACACACACACACACACACACACACGCACTCAGTGAGGTTATTCTGTTAGTCCAACCTTCACTTCAGGACAGTGTGACTTTTGTTCCTTCTTTAAATAGCTGCTCTGCTCCTTTAGGACCTGACACTACCATTCAAGGAGAAACTCTTTAGCTTTCACATTGAAATCCAGGACTGAAATGTGTCTGCTGACAAACCGCTCAGATAATGAAACATCTCACTGACGACTTCCATTGAACTCAACGACAGAGGAAAACATACAACTGTTTTGTTCAGTTTCTCCAGGGTCGCAGAAAAGATGAAAGCCTCCTCTCACTACCGTTTTCCAACAGAATCTGCGTGTTTGATGATGACAGCAGATACATCTGCTTGAGATAGGCATCAGACTTCTCTTCACAAGTAAACCTGTCTGCTGTTTGCTTTTCTCGTGTGTCATGTCATTAGCGTACTGTAAAGTAGGGTTAATAATACAGTGACAATGTTACAAGGGTCACTTTTCGTTATATTTGATATAGTCAGTGACTCAAACTTTCAAACCAGAGTTGGCGATTGTTGGAAGAATGAAAAGAAAACAAAGATGGTTTTGATGATTTTCATTTTGTCTCTGTCAAGTTTTAATGAAGTGGGTTTTATGATCGAGTGCAATACAATTAAAATGATTATTTTAATGGAGTAAAGAAGCTACAGGTAGAGCATATATTAATCTGTGTTTTTAATGTAAATAAATTATAATAATCAAAAAATTCCTGTTGATTTAATTTAATTTAGTGTAAATCATTTGGGATTTAAAAAAAACATTTGTAACTGATTCTGTTTCCTGCCTGAACAGGAAGCTTAAGGGCCACAGAGATAAACAGATGTTACTCTGTTACAGACTGTCAGGGATTAATACACACACACACACACACACACACACACACACACACACACACACACACACACACACACACACACACACACACACACACACACACCACTGCATGTAGGTTACCCAGCAGGCCGTTCAAGATTTGGTTGGACATGATTGGTCGAACAAGAAGNCAGAGGACGGTGGAGGGAGGTACGGACCAAGAGGCCAAACGCAGGGGATAGGCACCCATTTATCAAGACCCAGCATGTTCTTGGCCCACTAAGAGCGATGGCATTAAACAGAGCAAACTTATACTCCTTTACTTTGGACGCCAGAACTTAGAGGGGGTCGAACGTCCCCGCCAAACTAACCGATCGCGAACATGACAGTCTTAAACGTATTTGCCCTAAACTAACCGACTGCGAAGGTCGAGTCGAAGTTTTCAACTTGTAACGAGTTGAAAACTTTAGGACTTTTAGGACTTTTAAGGACCTTTAGAATACGAAACGAAGGGGTGTTACGTCCAAGCCGCTTTTCGGGCTCCGTTTCACTGCAGTGGGGTAAGTTTTTCAGTTACCCGTCTCTTCGCAACCTTTTCTACAAATTTCGAACGACACCCTTCGCAATGGCATGTAATGTAAGCCATGACACCAGTTAGGGGTGTCCTCGTTAAACCCACACTCACTTTCAAGACATATCTTCTTTGTTATGTTTTGTTTGTACTTTCTGGATGTTTTTACAGGTTTTATACTTATATTGACGTATTTCTTTGTTTTTGTCAGTAAGAAAAACGCTGATCGAAGTGTACGTTTGGTTGTACAACCTATAACTTGTAATTCCTTGTTCTCAAAAATGAAACCATTTGAAATACGTACTAATGAATGTCTCGCACACTAACACATTTAAACTCCTCAACTACTTACACTACAACTTTAAACGTACGGCTTCGAAGTAACATCGGTTCCTGTAAAGGAAGAAATATATCCGTTTAAGTGTAACTGTGATTACTGCATATCATAAGACTCGCTATTGACTGTGTTAGAGAGGGTCCGACTCGGTTCGACGTGTCGACCTGGTTAGTTTATGTTCCTTATTCACTTGCGTCGCTCAGATGAGGTACAAGTGTAGAGAAGTGTGGTGTATTGCACAGGTGTCAGTTTGGTTTTAGTTCCAGAGAACTCAGTATTTTATAGTCGATCTTAATAATTTTTTAGTGAAAACTGGTAGGTTTTCGCCTGTTTGGGGAGTTTATATATATATATATATTGCTCGCATAAAATCCCCGGTTTTTTTTGCTTTGATGTCGGGGCGGGAGATTCATGCGATTGGTTGTTGGTCGCGTTGCTCGCAAAAAATCCCCAAGCTTTCAGACACGCCCACTTCCAAGATTTTCAAGATTTTTTCAAAGCTGCTGTGTGGACGGGCCGTAAGTCGCTTTGGATAAAAGCGTCTAACAAATGACATGCAATGTCTTTTAATTGTATTATGTATATTGTTATTCTTTATGCAGCTTTTATTCTAATGCATAATATATAGGTCTATGTATATTTTGTAATCTATTGAATTTTCATATTCATATAACTTATTTTAATTCAGATACTTCTATTTTGGGGCTTTTTTTGTAATTGCTCTGATATAGATTTCATCGTAATTCTGATATATCATGGATATTTGAAAGATAATCATCATATTTTATTTTTACATTTCAATTTTTAATTTTTAATTTGAATGTTTTACTTTCTCCTACCATGGTTATCTTGTTCTTTTTACGCTACAACCTGCCAATAAACCAGATACTGATTCCGATCAGTGTAGCACTGAGGGTGGGCTGGGAAAGAGGAGTCTGCAGAGTGGGAAGATTGTGGTTCTGTTTGTGGAGTGGGAGGTGTGTTTTACTGTATTTAGAGCTGTGAGATTGCAGCAGGCTTCAATTAATTGAAAGCAACACCTGTGCTGGCTAAAAATACTCTTTATGTCTTATTTTAAGGGAGGTTTTTGAGAACAAGGGGCAACAAACATCAAACTGATTCCCAGGGCTCACTGGGCAAAGTAGTGTTTTGGCATATACTTTGACTTGTGCTATAATAGGTCCATACACACAGGTCCATCGAAATATATAATTATAAAAATGATATTGAGTAAGAAACTGATAAAAGTGTGTAACAAACTGAACGTTAGGATGTTCATTTTGGATATATCACTTTTTAATTTATTGGTCTGTACTTTTAAAAACCAACTCAACAGTATTACAAGCCGGATGGAATAATAAAGTAGTAGAAGTATTGAGTATTGAGTATGTCCAATTAACACAATGATGGTAGTTCACTTTAAAGGATGGAGCATAATCACTCTGGTTAGATCTATCAAGGTTTTCCACCAAAGTAAAGCTAATATTGAAGATAACAGATAAGACAATGTGGACTCTTAAACCTCCGAGCTGCTCTAATCAATATTTGAATAACAATGGATGATATGTGTCATGTGAAAAAGGTCCCTTGTAGTGATTAGTACTGAACAAAACCTTTTTTTATATTTAATGCTTTTACTGATGTTTTCAAATGCTGCTTTGAATGTCTGTCATCATATTTAATATCAGGATAACCCTAACCTTGCAGCACCCTTAGGACATAATCTCAAAGATAATGTTGGACAAGCCCCTACAAAGCTAAACACTCTATTAGACACTGCTTACTCTACCCTATACTGGCTTAAATCCTATTGTTAGCTATGCTTTAAATTTCCTTCACTGTAACTGGGTGGTGAGGTTGTGGCCTTAAGTACTTTTCTACTTAAGTGTACATTTTCTGTCCTTACTCTACATTCACTAAGCCTTTTTAGATGCGCAGGTGTATGAAATGTGCTATACAAATAACGCTGTCTTGGGTTGCGCTGTGGACGACCTTGTTTCCAGGTGCAGGAGGCATGTATCTACAACAAAAAGGTCTGCCAAAGAGACCTATTGTTGCTTTATTGGGTGGAGACCAAAACAGAGCTTAAAGACAGATAAACCTATACAGTACATCACACAACAGTAGAGGGAAAATCCAAAAAACACAATAAGGCCCCTTTAATGCAATGCAGAGCTATTTAGTTATCAAGTATATACCTTGGATTATATTTGATTAACTTCATAGTACTTTAAGTGTGTACTATGCAGGTTCCTTAGGTAAAAAATGCAAGTACTGTCTCAGGAATGTGTAACTGTTGATCAGTATCGTAGAAAAAAAATCCCCAAATTACATGATTTGCTAAATATTTGCTAACCTGTCATTGCATTCCGAAATAGAGTAATTTAAACTGATAATAATGAGATTTATCCTAGCTACAATCACTGCTGCCATGATCACTGGCTAAATGCTCGTCCAATCGAAAGTCAATGTAGTCAATAGGCAGATGTTTGCTCAGACGTTCACAATGTAATCGTTTTCGGCTGATTATATGTCATTGTTGTGTTGATATAGTGTTGTTGTAGTGGTTGTTCCACCTCCCCCAGGTAATCAACAAATCCAATCAATAGACTATAAGAAATTCAGACCACCAGTATTGATCAATTTGGATGTTAACATGGACGGCTCATTTCCAGTTATTTGTCTTGAGCTTCTCTAAGACTTCTTTCGATCTCTAAGTAACAAAGGACTAAGATATGTGGAGTCTCAAAGTATCTCCCAGCACAATTTAACATTTAAAATGTGGCAGGATAATTACCAATGTTAACTTAATAACTCAATTCAATCAGTTTAAAATCCATGGTTGTTAAATGCGGTGGTTTTTAATACTAAATGGCCTGCTTTTACTTAAAAAATAAATAGGTGGAAATGCAGAGAAAATGTTTCCAGTAGAAGCGTTACATCTCTCTTCCTGAGGTGAAAAATGTTCTCACTCTCAGAGCCCTCGATGGTGGGCCTTTCCCCAGAGTCCATTAATTAGTTAATTAGTTAATTAGTCCGAACAGATGGCCGTGCAACACAAATCAGAAGGCTCTCTGGGCCGGGAGCAGGAGGAAGGTAGGAGAAGGTGAGCCGAGGAGCAAATCTGGAAACTCAACTGTCGCCAACCCTCTGAACCAGGCAGTGTGCAGCAGACATTTTGCCCTCATTCACCCATTTCGCTCCACAACCACAGCGTCTATGATAAATTAATAAGATAAGTATTATGAAATTTGCTTCAAGATGACATGTGTACGTGTCGTAGTGGAGTGGAAGCATAAGGAGTTTAAGCGGTGTGGAAGGGAGCTGTGGTCACACTGCAGGAGCGTTTATTTAAATGAATACTTTGCATCACTGCAGATACGAAAAAACATTTTCTGATGGTTTATTTTTAGACTGTTCCCATATTCCCCCCCCCTACCCTCCTTCTGTTTCCTCTCCCCTCACTGTCTCTCTATGATTCTCCCTCGCTCATCTTTCTCTATTCCCTGCTCTCTTCTTCCCTTATACGCGACTCCCAATCGCTCTCTTAAAGGCGCAGGCATTGTATGAAATGAGGTTGGCATATGTAAGCTCCTGTGTGTGTAAGTACAGGATAATACTAAAGTTTAGAACGTAAAACTATTAAAAAAAGGCATACCTGTGTTTCTCACTTTGACTCAAATTCACAGTGTCAGAGAGGAGCGCCATTAAATATTCAGATGGATGCTGCATTATTCATATGTATATTTTACGCACGGCAAGCGACCGAGTGGCGCGCGCTCACATTCTGTCACGTGCACAGCAGGTATTCGTGTGCACATGCATCCTTATTCTACACAAACATACTAACACACACACGGATAATCGCCTTAGTACAGTAACCCATTTAAAGCATATCTGAGAGTGAGAGAGAGAAGGAGCACACATTCGCCCACATACCAAAAATGTTCAACAACGTTAAAGGAATCGAGGACACTGCGTCATCCCTCATGAGCAGGGTTGCTCTCCGCCTTTATCATGTGTGGAAGTCAATATCCATAGTGTAGAGTGCATGAGGGCAGTTCAAACACTTTAAACATCTCTAACATGAATTAAAGGAACAATGACAACTTAAATCAACCAGGATGAGGAGTCTGTACAGAAAGGAAACACCAAAGACCACTTTTCTTTTTGGGTGTTAGTCAGCAGGGTTGCATCAAAATGACAGGACTGATTTGCCTGAAACTTGGTGGAATCATGGGCCAAGTAAGAACCCCTGAGATTTTTGCTGTGGGTGTGTTAACAAGGACGTTATATTAAAAACTCTATTGCGTTTATGTTATAATATAAAGTAGGGCATTTGTTCTGCATTCATGTGGTGTCGAGATATATATTCATAAATGAGTTACCAACTGGGAGATTTCTCATGAAAGCCCCCCAAAAATCTGAGCAACTCTGGAAGTTGCCAAGAATTTAGCTTCACGGATCAGTTTTCTTTGCTCTATGCAGGAACACAAATACTGGATATACTGTGCAATAAAGATGCCTACATCACATCGTGTGTAACTGACGAAGACCATATTCTTTTTGGTCCTTACCGGGACACATGTTGTTAGCATGTCGGCATAGAATCACCCAAGTAAGATTAGCAAGTTCAATGTAAAAGTATTAAACAAATTAATTAACAAAAACAGGTCCTCATTGGAAGTCCAGGTAAAATAAAGTAGTATAGTACAACAAGAATAAAATAATAAAGAATATAAGATATAATATCCACTAAAGTCAGAAGAATAACTTTTCAACTCCGTCGGAGGAGCACATGAATGCACCGTTGGCCTTGGCGAACGTCTGCGTACTTCTAGTTTAATACTGCATTCAACAAACCTGACTTCAATTTGTGAACAGAATCTCACGCCCAATTTGTTACAGGTCATGATTTGTCAGCTGTGAAAAAGAGCACATAACAAGCTGAAATGGAGCACGATAAAGCCGAAGGTCCAGGTCCTCATCCCACTAACCCTCACTTCGTCCTTGTCCCCTCTCCATTGGCACGCTCAATAACGCTCTGGATTGTGTTACCCCTCTGTTAATACTCTGCTGCAACTCTTGGACGGCATCCTAAACGACTCCCATTTCTCTGTTTATCATTATTCTGATATGTTGAAACAGGCGTGATGCAATAAACAAGATCTGATTACCCAACCTGGCACCCGCAATTCCGGCGTTAGATAGTCTGTGTGCAAACACCTCTGAAAGATGACGGGAAATGTAAATACTTGACTCCACTGATATCCAAGGGCTACCTAGCCCTTGTGCTGCTGCACACAAACACACACACACACACACACACACACACACACACACACACACACACACACACACACACACACACACACACACACACACACACACACACACACACTTCTCTACACATTGTGACAGGCCTTGCAAGCTCTGCAAAGCTCTAACAGAATGGACAAATAGAATACATCCTAATCCAAAAATACACTGAAAGCAACAAACACTCATTTCAATTGTGTTGTGAATGACTGAATGTACACCAAAGGCAGTAAGTAATATTCATATCATTAAAAAAGATATAATATTTATTTCCTGCTATAGAGAAATGTCTGTCAGTGAACAGATCAAGAGGCTGTTTGCAAAGATTGAGTTGAGCGTATTGTATTTTTCTATAAATACAGATGTTTCCAAGTCTTACACTTAAAATATTTTACTCTTAAATTGGACCATAAAAGAAAGCTGTGTTAAGGTAGTGTCAGTATCAGGGCTTGGACTGTGAGCCGTAGGGTCGCCGGTTCAAGTCCCCGAACAGACCTAAATATGGAGAGGTCCCAGTTCACCTCCTGGGCCCTGCCGTGGTGCCCTTGAGCAAGGCACCGGACAATAGTGTACATGCGTGCGTGCGCATGCACACGTTTGTTTTAAAGACCCCAATAGAGCTCAGTTTATAACTCGAACCCTGACCAAGCCGTGTAATAAAAGTTGTTAGTAGCCTGAATGGCCTACACAGTTGTTATGCTATACCAAATTGCCCTTCACTGGATGTATAATGAGCTGCACTAAACTACATTTTAGCATTTAAAATATCTAGCCATTTTTTTGCGGTTATTTTGGTAAAGTAACTCAAAAGTAATGTAAAAGTAGTGTAACTCATTACATTTCAGAGTAAGTAATATTGTAATGTAACTTATTACTTAAAAAATGCATTGTGGTGTTAGCTTAAGACAATAAAAGCATGCAAAAGGATTGGTTTGAATTTTGATGTTGATTTTATTTTTCATTGCACCAGTATTTTGAAAACCAGGAGTGTAGTGCTATTTGTTTAAGTGCTCTAACAACACATGTGAGCACGTTCAGGGCTGTGGCTCGTTTAGAAGGTTATGTAACCACCGTCAATTAACACTCTCCAGACAAAATCGGCACAGCAGGAGAGTCAGTCTGAATTGATCAATGAATGATTCAGGGTAATTCTCACAGTATTTGCTGCCCACAGCGGCTTTATAGTACCAGAAGTTGTGTTACCGAATGAAATCCCGGAGCATCTACGTAAAGGCAGCAGGACTGACATGTTGATATAACCGCAGCCTCTGAGAAGTGGCGCTGCAGAGCTGATACTGTGTGCTATTAACACACATCCATTAAAAAGGCATCTATTTAGGGTGCATAAATCCCCGTTCCAACTTAGTTTGTTATCAAAAGCAAACAGTAATATCTTTATTTTTATTTCTATGGTAATTATAGTAATTACCTGATGGAAAGATCTTCCGCCATTGGTCTCTGTGGAGATGTGTGCTAATGTTGTGAAGCTGAACATCTAGACATAAAGCTTTAGATTCCAGTGCGCTCCAGCAACACTACGCCCATTTATAAAACATGCAACCTGATAGACATCAGCTCTCTGACTGACAGGGGAAGGTCAAGTTGAGATGACACATTGCAAACAAAGTCTGCAAACAAAACATCAGATGAATTTATGGCTGATAAAGCCCGGCAGGATGCGGAACACCAAACTTACCGAGCACGCCCAGCCGATAGTTCATGGTGACCACGATGACATTTCCGTAGGCAGCCAGGACGCTGCCATCAAACAAGTTCCCTGAGCCCTCCATGTAGGAGCCTCCATGGATGAAGAGCATCACAGGCTTCTTACGACGATCCCGAATATCTGCATGACAAAGACAAACAGCATTATTTTCATCTTCATTCAAAACGTTGTTTTTCTCGCATGCCTCCATGGTGAAAAATAATGAAAAAACTTAGAAATGTGTAGAAATTGAAATAAATAGGGGGTCGCATTTAACTATGAGAACATCCTTTCACAAGATCTCCATGTGCAGTATTCTCCAAGTCTCATTTATCAAGTCATAAGAGAACTAATTTAGAACTAAAAAGTATGTGCAAACACATGCATACTTTGCTAACACTTTTTAATATACCTCTGTATAAACAGTCCCATTTTTGCGCAGGCACATTACTTGCGAGCCTGAAGTATATTATATAGTAACGTTTTTGCAGAAGTGCATTTGTTTGGAAGGGAGTGAGTATAAGACTTGATAAATATACATGGATAATACTACACACATATTTGTGTTTTGTGTAAACAGATTTTCAGATATACTTTGGCTGTTGTTGAATGTGGCCCCATTAAGTTCAATTAATCACAATTTTCACTGTCTTTACATGTTTTGTTTACCAAGATTCAAAATTACTCAGGGTTCGAGTAATTGGTATAAAAATGGTAATCTTTGGGGTGAAATATTTATTTTTAAGTGGCAACAGGTAGTCTACCCTCACACACACACCCCCCGCCACCGCCGCGGCATTATAATGTCCGTCTTTTCACTGAATTGTCGTCTTGAAAAGGGTACTCACAACATTTCCGCAACAACTTCATCTTCACCTGTTGCACTTGTCATTTCAACGTTAAAAAAAGCATGAATTGCTTCGTCGCATCCATCTAGATCCTCTGTCTCGAGCCAGTTAACTAGCGGGCCTTGCAGTGGTTCTCAAATGGGGGTACGCGGACCCCTTGGGGTACGTTGGAGTACTGCAGAGGGTACGTGAGATTTATTTTATGTTAATGAAAAAAAAAAAGAAAGATAAATATACCAATTTTAGGAAAAGTAACCAAGTTTGAGCAGTGTGGGTTTTATATTAATAGACTAGAGTTACACATATTTCAAAACGCGAAGTGTAATAACTGCAGTTAGTCTCCCTGTCAGAATGACAAAGATCCTCAGTAAAGCACAAGACTATGTTTCTCACTAAATTGTAATTACAACTTATTAAAAAAATCAGTTCAATGCAACTAATGTCGTCTGAGTGTTATAGCATGATGTTAAATTGAGTTTGCCATGAATTTAGTGATGGATTGTAAACATTTGAAATGTAGCATTTAAGTGTTTCTCAGTTACAAGGTTGTTGTTTTAATAAATCAGACACTGATGGTGCAGCGCTGCACTGTACCTCTTTATATAGGCATTTTGTCCCTAACAAATCGTTTTTGCGCTGATCAGGGGGTACTTGGCTGAATTTTTTTTCAAAGGGGGTACATTATTGAAAAAAGTTTGAGAATCACTGCTTCTGTCTCGAGCCAGTGAACTAGCGGGCCTTCTAGAAACCCCCGGAACCGAGGGAAACTCTGAAAGATTACACCCATTGGCTACAAATCAATATATGATTGGTTGATCAAACTGTCAATCCAAACGTACGCTCTCATTCAGTGCAACGGCCAGGGCATTCTATCAAGGATGTAGAATACCTTGGTTGAAGGATATTCTACCCAGAGACCCAGAACAAGATCTGATTGGTTGCTTTCTTTTCTAACACAAAACCACTGAAATGCGTAGTGCATGGACTGAGAAGGACAAACAAATCAACGTAACACTGTAATATTACAGATCAATACGATACATTATTTATATAATTAAATTGATTTTTTTGTTTGTTTTATCTGAGTATTCCAGGGTATTCTCTGAATACCTTGAAGGCCCTGACGGTTCGCCACTGCTTTAAACTGGTAGCTCTAGATTTGTAGAACCGCAGTAGTAAAAACAAACCCTCTACAGCCAGTGGTTTGCTTGGAGAAAAATATGAACATACTAAGTATGAAGCCTTTTCCATTGCCTTTAAGTTGGAAGCAATTGTTTCATGTGTGTCCCACTGGGATTATCCTCTCTATTTCGTCCTGTGATGCGTCTCCCCCTATCCTGTGCCGTGATGGTACCTTCCCCAACTTTCCTTCCCCTGCATGTGTGGAGCAAATGGTTGCCACCGGTTCTGATGTCCTCTCTGTTATTGGTGCCCATCAGTGTGTTGCTATGGTTCACTCTGTCAGCCCCCCCACCCCCCTCTCTCTTGGTACGGTCTGAGCGTGGATGAGGCTGCGAGAGCTGCCAGTGCAGCCCAGTTATGCCGAGCGTCTGCACTGTGCAGGGCCTGTGGATAATTTGTATGAAAGCCAGACCAAGTGGAAACATAAATAACAGCCACAGCATCTGTTTACCCTGATGAGCTTCAGCACTCAGAGATGGGGAAAAGAGACAGAGAGACAGAAAGAGAGAGACAGAGAGAGAGAGAGAGAGAGAGAAAGACAGAGAGAGAGAGATAAAAGGGGGTAAGATGTGAGGGAGCGAGGAGATGAAAATAGGGCAGTGTGAGAGAACTGACGGGGGGAAGAGACATGGAGGGGAAGTTCACCGCGAAAAAACATGATAGCAAGGACGAAAAAAATAAATGTTACAAAGCAAGTCATACATAGCGAGGTACGCTAATGAACACTCAAATTCACACAGGATTCACACCGTATTCATAGAGACACACACACACACACACACACACACACACACACACACACACACACACACACACACACACACACACACACACACACACACACACAAACTTGCATAGGCAGCTGCGATGTCGAGTCGCTATGGAAACTGCTTCTCGCTAATAGAACTGCACCAGCCATTCCATTGCACCGACTCACTGAATGCCTGTTGCCGTGGTAACAAATTCTACTCACGTATTTGCACACCCGCCTGCATCACCACCTGAATCTCAGGTTACACATGCACTTGGGGTGCGTCACTCGCAATCGCAATCGCACGCGCGCGCACGCACGCACGCACGCACGCACACACACACACACACACACACACACAGGGGATGTGGAAAATGGCACATATGGCTTCACACATGCAGAGCTCTTTTGTGGATCAAACGTGTGACACAGGCAGACTGGCTAAAAATAAAGATTTTCAGTCGTACACTCTGACGCGCTGCTCTTTTTCTGCTCTTCTCCGGTGTATTCTGGAGCTCGGCTGATTTCCCAGAGGATATGTAAACAAGTTCAATTATCCCGGCATTAACAGGACAGTATAGAGTAGTGACATATCAGCAGGTCTCGTAGTAACCCTCCCACCATAAAATAAATCCTGGGTGATAAATAACTAAGGCTATGACATGTAGCAGCCATTTTAAAAGGTTCAATCTGTTATCTTTTATTTTACGTTTCAATGACATATTCTTGGTGCTGTGTTTACACCATGACGTTTTTTTCATGCAAATGTAATTGTCAAACATCAAACATGCACTAATTTGGCCTCGTGGAGAAACCGAGATGTAGTCTTTATGATCCTGAATATATTCTCCTTGTCCGATGCCTACATTACCCATAAAGCAACTTGGTTTGTAAAAGTTGGGTTGGATATTCAGATGTGTGACGCTAGTAGCAGCTAATGTAGGCTCGAGCCTCAGCGGACTGCAGAGGTCTGGTTTGCTTAGTTCTTTTTAACTCCAAATGAGGGATGCAATAAACTCCTATTTTGATAATGGATTATTACTGTATGTTGATTATTATCTCGATTAATTGGAGTGTTACATAGCGATGTCATGATGTTACGAAAGTCAAAAAGGTCCAATGGATGCGTTTTATGCTGGGGGAATTTCAGCCTTTGCTGACCACAAAAACCTATATAACCGATACAGGAAAGGGAAACCCCCAAAAGCATAATAGGGCCTCTTCAAGTATAATTAAATGAAATACATCTAAGACGTTGGATGCAGGTTGAAGCGAGGGACATGGTGCAGTGATTGGCGGGGACTCAGCACAAACAGAGGGGTGATTAGGGGGTGCAGGGTCGCAGGGGGAAAGTGCCTCAAGGCCTACAGGGCCAACAAGGAGCTCACTGTCCTTCCTGCCTGCCACCAAAACATTAGCACATTATTCACTCCTCTCTTTCCTACCTAACCTGATACTCTCCTCCTCAAAATCCACCCTCCTCGCACTGCTATTCTCAAGGCGACGTCTTACCTCCGGATAGAAACTGCCTACTTTCTGCTCCTCCATTATTCTGCTCCTCTCTCATTCATTCTCTATGGACTGCATTGATTTGGGGTGTAAAAAGTTTCATCCTGACTCAGCACTTTATTGTATTTTTGTGCATCCAAAACCCAGGCGCAAACAATGCAGTCTCTCGCAAATAACTTTAAAAAAAGAAGAAAGAAAACAAGCTGCTAATAATAGGATTTCTAGGAATCCGTGTCCAATCTATACCTTAGTAATTAAAGTAACGAATTTGGATCTACCCGAGCCACCCTTATCCTGTCAAGATCCATCAGGTGTTGGCATAAATGTCAAGCTCTACCAGTCTCCTCCTCATCCACCCTCTCAATCTCTCTCTCGCTCCACATTTCTCTAACTTTCAAGTTTTGTAAATGTCATTTCATCATGCACTTGTCTTCATTATGACTATTTTCCCCCTCCTCTCCCCCTCGTTGCCCTCCCCTTGTGCTCTCGCAGTGCTCAGCTTTTCCTTTTCTTTCATCTCTATTCTATCATTCTGCTCCTCTCCGAGGCAATCCTGCATGAATCCTTCCTTCTGTTTTCACCGTTAAGAAACCACACAATTGGATTAGCTACATCTGTCTCTTTTTAAACCATAGCAATTAGAGATGCAAGGGAGAGAGAATTCACTACCCAAATAGCACAGAGCCCTCACATGAAAAAAAGAAAAAGAAAAAAGAAAAACCACACATATTGGCACAAATTAGAACACATGCACTCAGGCGTAGATTTGCACATGCACCGCGCTCGAATAGGCACACGATGCACACATGCAGTGCATCCTACAGTATGTGTGCATAATGCTATATATACAGTACGGCACGTGTACAGAAACAGATGCACACTGTCTACATAGATTTTGGTTGCATCAGTAAAGGGTAGTGAGAGCATCTCCATTCGCCTGCTGCAGTGAACTTGAAAATGCACAGCAGTGGCAGAAATATGCAGGAATCCTACTTCTTTAATAAATGAAAACTTGGAGGATGCCCAGAAACATTATGAAGGACAATAATTCAGCAGTGCATTTCATAAGGACGTGAGTGCATCAAAAGCGCAGGTGAAAAAAAGGGAGTGAATATTGATTTCCATTGATGCATCACGCAGGATAGTGAGAACATCAGCGTGGGGTTGATCAACCACATCGCAACCCAAGAAGGGAAAGTAAATTAGCTCCCTGTGCAAGTACCCAAAAACGCAGCGTTAGTGACAGGGGGGATGAAGAACAACTACTTTGTATGGAGCTCTTAATGCGCTTCAGCTAAACGTGTGCCTGTGAGGAAGGATAGCAGATTTGAGCGCTAATAAAAGCCGTTGACATGGCACAATGTCATTTGCACACACAGCGAAGAGTCTAAGATGATTATTAATACAGATGCTAACACAACAATCCCTACAGAGCTAGAACAATGGAGCAAGAGGAAGAAAACAAAAACATTAAAATACCTTCATCCCTTGGTCTGTTCATCGTAGACTCATCTTGTTTTTTAGTGAGCGGACCTAAGGTGTGGAAAAAAGAGGGGTGGGGGAGACAACATTAAAAATTAAAAAAGATTGCATGTTGCAGAAAAGCAAGAGAAGATTAGGAGGGAAATAGAGATGTAATACTGTGTTACTTCTCAGTGGCTTTTTGCATCTGCAGAGAAAAATGTTAACGCACCGTTTCTTTCAAAGACTATCCCAAACTCATCTGTTTTAACTGCTTAGGATCTAGTCACGCACTGCCTTGAAATGACCCAAGAGGCCACTTCTCCTCAACCCTGCTCCCTATCAGTCCTGACACTCTGCTGCTCTGTAAGGGAAAATCAATGAGCAGAAACAAGCCATCACTCTTTTTGGTCAGAAAAGGCGAGGGAATGCCAAGATGTTCTGTATCCTGCTCCGGCTCAGGACAGTGTTGCAATCCTGAGGCCGAAAGTCACCGCACGAGACTAGAATGTCAAAACACCAAAGACACACACACAGTGCTCATCCTGAACACATGTGACCACGTACATTCAGAGAAACGCTGGCACGCAGCCTGAAATGTGAGTCTTTCCTTCCAAATTAGCAAAGAGAGAGCTCTTTGATATTTACAAAGGATCCCCCTGACCAAGGTCAAAGCAGGGCCCCACATTAAGCTTTAATGGTAAAGCCAGTTAAACGCTCCATAGGGCACAGCCAATAAAAAGCATTAATCACAGTGACCAACCAATGCCCTGGTGCGTCAACCTCTGTAAGTCTGAACTGATAAGCATCCCATTAGTTGGTTTTTCCTTGGTTTGTGTCGGTGAAGCTTTCCATCAGCCCACAATTAACGCTGCATTTTCTGTCCTTCTTATTCACTGTCTACATCCACACGCCTTTGAGAAAGCCATTAAAACACACTCACGTTCACACACACACACACACACACACACACACACACACACACACACACACACACACACACACACACACACACACCGAGGGGTTTATCACTCTGCTGGAGTGCTGCTGACATGTCTGTCTGTTCTACCCTTATGTTGGGAGCCTACATAGGAGTATAGGGTCAGGAATAAGGAAAGGCATAAGACATTTTCTTGCCTTTCAACAATAAGTTAAAATGTCAAGAATAAGGTCAACTTTTAGTATCAGTGCCAGGCTAAAGAATATATAACTCAGATCAGAAGGATCTTGTAAAATGATGTCATAAAGCTGAAAAAGTAGAAAATTGATTTAAATGTGGAGAACAAAAAAAAGTTACCAGTAGGCTATACAATTATAAAAAGTGAGAATAAAATCAAAATGTTGAGAGTAAACATCAAAAGTGAGAAGCGATCCAACTTCTAGAATTAGAGCATACGTATATACCGAAAGTTTGCCCTTATAGTCTCCCACAGAAACCTCACAGTAAAGTGATGGCAGCATTTGCAGTGCTGATCATCTGTTGACAAAGAGGCAGAGCACACCACTCACTCGACCATTACAATGCTGCATTTTCACCAATCCCTTTATAAGAATATGGTTTCCTGATATAATGTGTTTATCTTCAGTCTAAATGGAACTGGATCAATGCTGAATGGATTTGCTCCATCCTCTGCATTCCAGCATGCAGATGCCTGATCCGGAGAGCACTTCCCGCCGCGGAGGGCGATGGAACAGTAGCTGGTCCTGGGCTACGGGGGCAGACAGGTAGACAGACCGGTAGACAGACCGGTAATGGATAGAAGAGCACACAAGTCGTACGTCTTGTCAGCACTTTCCCAATACTTAGCACCACTCTAAAACCACACATCGCTGCTTAATGGAGACTACTCCGATTTCATTTGTTCTGTAATGCCTAATAAATATCCGCTTAAACAGACACATGCACTTTGTAAGGGACCATCAGCCTAACACTCCACAAGCGCACACCCGAAACAGAAGTTTTTCAGATAAAAAAACTGTGATTAGGACTTTTTTCATTCTCAGATGATCCTTTTTAGTCTATAAAATAGTGGAAAGGCAGTTTCCAAAAGCCCAATGAGGGACTTTGGCTGTGAGCGGCCATCTTCCAATAAGAAGGTTGTGTGTCGATCCCAGTCAACGTGTCGATGTATCCTTGGACAGGACCCTTAACACAAAGTTGTATTCCCAACTGTGTGTGAATGTTAGCTTCCTTAAGCAGGCGCATAGCAGCCCCGTAAAAACTGTATGCAGCGCTATTTAAAATGCCGTCCAAGGGGAAGTCTTGTTTTGTCAGTCCAACAAGACTACAAGTCTACAGCCTGGCTAGGCTGCATTTAGACTTAGAGTTTTGCCTCAATCCAAAGTATTGAACAAATGACAGTGTTTCCTGAAAGTGTTTACCAAATATCATGGCAATCCATTTAATAGCTGTTGAGATATTTCAGATCAAAGTGGTTGACCAACCGACCGACATTGTCATCACAAAAGTGCATGGATAAAAACACATTTACATCACGTAATTTACAATTACGTGAAACTAGAAAGCATTTCCTTTTATCTGAGATTTGGACTTTATAATGCCTTCAACAATTATTCAATGATCAGATGTTAGTACCCGTTAGGCTCTTGTGGCCATTTGACTTCTGGCATTCTTTTATAGAAAATCATTGCATCGTATTTTTTTTATATTGGTCCTTCCTTTGCATTGAAAAAGATGCTCATAGCAGTAACTTCTGACCAAAAATGTAAGACTTTTGAAGAAACACTAACATGAAGAAGAAAACAAAATTAGGACTTCGCCAAAGGGAAACACAGACTTTTAAAAAACATCTTTACCTTCTGCCTCAGCAGAGGAGCCTGCCGGTAGGTTGACTGTCACATGATGTAATTGTCCACTGGTCACTGAAATGCATTGGCCTGCACTGGAGCATTTGGCTTGGGTTGTCCCAGCACTGTTTGACCTAATGTGGCTCCATCTCTCCGTCAACAGTGTTTCTGTTCGGTTCAGTGAGCTAGTGGCCAGAGCACAAGCTGTCTCCCGTCCCTCTCCATTTCCTCAGTGCAGTAAACGGGATGAAGCTGCAGTATGTCATGTCTATGGCGGCCTGTCTGCTTGACAAGGTGTCAGAAAAACCCTTGGTTCAACCCCCCATCCAGGATCCAGCATCCAGGCATCAACTCCCAGCACATGCAGGCCTATCCCTCTGCTTTCTGACTCTTCTACTGTGCCCCCAGCCTCCAGCTCCATCTCTGCCTCCACTGTCCTGCCTCCTGAAATATGTTTTTTAATAAAGAGCGCGGTAAATGGCTGCTCTAGCGGCAATAAAAATGAAAGATCTTCGTCTGAGGAAACAGGAATGCAGTGAGACATTGCTCTTGCATAGCAGCTTGTCCACACAGTTAGGATCAAACTCTTTAAAAGGAAGGTAGGGAGCAAGAGGGGGGATAAAGGGAAGAGCCTAACACTCACAGTTCAAACCGCAAGAACATTTGTGACATTTACATTATTCCAAGGAGAATTTGAGGAGTAGCATGCTACATAGTGTCCTGGTGGGGAAGGGCACAAAGCTTATTTGCATTCAGAACAGTGACCCCTTATACCGCCATCTGCATAAAGATGGAGGAGACCGGAGTGGGGAAGAGGCAGGGAGGATTTCAGGGAGGAGAGAGCAGATGCAGAGAGAAAAGAGATTTGTGTATTATTATTTTTTTGGTCCAAACAGAAACGTAGACCACATGCTCCAAGAGAGTATTCCTAGGTCTGAAGCATGATTTATGGAAGAATGGTAAGATGATACTAAATGACCTTTGAAGATTAAATGGATCAAAATCAAGGCCAGATTGGGCACCAAAACATTTGGATCCAATATTATTTTGTGCTGTCAATTCACTTCGACCCACCTACATCCGGCATAAGTAGCAATACAACTGCTTGCTGCCAAAAACAGACATCCTGCCTTTAAACATTTTTACCATCACTTTCTATTGCCAAGTTAGGAAGACAACTGCTCTTACCATTGCTTCTTAGCACTGAAAGCAAAGTACAACGGACTGATTGGGATATCTTGGCAAAGAAAAGTCAATATGCTGTTAACGCTATATATAAACTCAAGTGGTTAATCCTCTTGGGACCATGAATGTCAATACAAATTTGGATTGCAATCCATCCAACAGTTAGAAGATTTGTGTCTGGACATTGCTATCCCTAGAGAAACATTGATGCTGGGCTGAGGGCAACTTGCTAACATAAAGACAGGTAGGAGACTTCTTGGCACATTTACAGGACGGGTTCTGTGCGGATACTTCAAGATATTTAAAGAGCAACTTCCAGGTTAAAGACACCTGTGAATAGATGTGTAGGAAAATTACACTAGATTTTCAAAAAAATATAAAGAAATATACACTGCAGTGACATCTGGCGTCGTTTTTGTAAGAAATGTTCACTTCCGCATAAAAAAGCCACGGCACGTGACCTCCCGCGTGTGACGTAACACGGGGGAAACAAGGGGGAGAGCGGCCGGTGTAACGTATTAATAAACATGGATCCCAATGCTAGTTTCGACACAGAAGACACAGAAGAAGTTGAACATGAATATTCAAATGCATATGACGGACCACAACCTTATAATTATGAGCCTGCTAGGCGTCCAAGAGACCAGGAGCAGCCAAGGATTAGAAGAAATAACGGCAATCGGAGAGAAATTGAGCTGTGGTGTGAGGAGAACCAGTGGAACTGGGCAGCTATCTTGGTGAGTGACCGGCGTTAGCTACAGAATGTTAGCTAACGTCACATCACAACATTGTGAAGTTAGCTATCATATATCAGGCTATAACTAAAGTAGCATTGATAATATAGTAACGTTACTGGCAGGACTGTTGATACTGATCCATAACAGAAACTAATGCGCAAGTGTCAGCCGTATCTCGCGTTACCTAATGCAACTCCACACTACGGTGCTGTGTACCGGAGGGGAGACGCGAGATACTGCTGATACTTGACGGTCTGGCGGAGAAAGGTTGTGGAGCCTCCGTTGATATGCCGTTGTAAATGGCTTGATGGAAAGCAGGTGNGGGAGGAGTATTCGAGGTGA